GGAAGGTGGCTCAGTGGTAGAGTGCTTGCCTGGCATGCATGAAGCCCTGGGTTCCATTCCTCAGTACCACAGAAAAAGTGGTGCTGTGGCTCAAGTGGTAGAGTGCTAGCCTTGAGCCAAAGAAGCTCAGGGATGGTGCCCAGGCCCTGAGTTCAAGCCCAGGATTGGCACACACACACACACACACAAAAGAAGAAGAAGGAAAAAGAAATTTGTGATCAATTACTGCATCATTTAGCTATGACACGCTGCTGTTTCTGAGTCACACTGCGAGAAATGTTAAAATATGGAAAAAGTGTCTTGCCACCCCATGAAATAAATAACACCAGGAAAGCAAATACGGCTTCCAAATGCATCTCAGGGGAAGCAGATGTAGAAATATTCGTATCATAATAATAGCAAAGTTCGCTGAACACTGATCCTGGGCTGGGCACTGCCCTGAAGTGCCCTTTGTGATCTCAGGGGTTGGGTAAATCTTTTAAGCTTTCTTAGCCAGGGAGTTTCTGCCCCAGCCAATCCCCTCCCATCTCATTTACATAGCCCAGGGTGAAATGCAAATTAGCCAGCGTGGCCTGTGCCAGTAAAACATCACTGAAGAACACTAATATTTAAATTTCGTAGTCAGGCGCTGGGGGCTCACGCCTGTCATCCTAGCTACTCAGGAGGCTGAGATCTGAGGATCATGGTTAGTAACCAGCCCTGGGCAGGGAAGTCCGTGAGACTCTTACCTCCAATGAACCACCAGAAAACCGGAAGTGGCGCTGTGGCACAAAGTGGTAGAGCCATAGCTTTGAGTGAAAAAAATTAGAGACAGTGCCCAGGCCTTGAGTTCAAGCCCCATGTCCAGCAAGAAGAAGAAGGAGGAGGAGAAGGAGGGGGAGGGGGGGGGAGGAGGAGGAGGAGGAGGAGGAGGAGGAGGAGGAGGAGGAGGAGGAGGAGGAGGAGGAGGAGGAGGAGGAGGAGAGGAAGAAGTCGTCAAGCCCTACAGACTCATAAGGATGAAAATGAAAGGAATTCCTCTTTCTCCAAAGATAAACAGTATTAAGGATTTCAAAACCTAGCTCATCTCATGCTGACTGGACTTCGGGTGTTCTGAACACAGTGTGACTTTGACCAAGTTGCCTAACGTCTCTGAGCCTCTCTGTGTCTCTCAGAGGAGCAGTCTGGAGGAGACCAGCCAGCTCTGCAGGTCTTCCCAGGCCTGACAATGAAGCATTATTTGCAAAGGACTGTGTACTTGGTGGGAAAAGCAAAGCCGCCCTTTGTGGGCGCTGGTGGCTCCTGCCTGTCATCCTAGCTATTCAGGAGGCTGAGATCTGAGGATCACGGTTCAAAGCCAGCCCAGACAGGAGAGTCTGTGAGACTCTTATCTCCAATGAACCACCAGGAAACAAGTGGCGCTGTGGCTCAAGTGGTAGAGTGCTAGCCTTGAGTGAAAAGCTCAGGAACAGAGCCCAGGCCCCGAGTTCAAATCCCACAACCAACAACAACAATAAGAGTGGATGGACACTCAGCAGGCCGGGCTGTGTAGGATGTGTAGGCAGACCCTGGTTTTGGATAATTACCAATTAGATGACCCAGACCTGTCTCTGCCCTGAGCCTACTCCCTAGCCTATAAAGCAGAATTGACAACCACATCCCAGAGTTATTGAAGTCAGGAAGTCACTGTTGCACACCTGGTACTTGTGTCCTTTTTATATTTACTTATTTAAATATGGTGATGACCAGGGGTTTGAACTCAGGGCCTGGAGGCTGTCACTTGAGCCACCCCCCCCCCTTCCAGCTTTTTGCTGGTTTAATTAGAGATAAAGAATCTCTCCCATTTGTCCGCCCAGGTTGGCTTCAAACCGTGATCCTCACATCTCAGCCTTCTGAGCAGCTAGGATTACACGTGTGCGCTACAAGCTCCTGCAGAAAAGTCAGGATTTGAGGGACCTTCAAATTCCCCATATCCACTCAGGGGAGGGAAAGTTGAAGGAACCAAATTCTCCTGCAACAGTACGTCTGATGAGAAGAGAGGGAAGGGGTGGGGAGTGGTAAAACTCAGAAAGGCAAAGCAATGCTAGCCAAATGGGGTGGGAGAGGACAGGAACATCCAAGGAACTCTGAATTTTCCTGGAACCTACCAGAGAGGTCAACCCGCTCCAGGGAGGCCCAGGGCTGTGGGCTGCAAACTTGGTGGGAAATGAGAGTCATTCATCTGAGTGGACTGAAAACTGGGCTCTGTGCCTCATGCCTGTCATCCTAACTACTCAGGAGGCTGAGATCTGAGGATCACAGTTCAAAGCCAGCCCGGGCAGGAAAGTCCATGATACTCTGATCTCCAATGAACCTCCAGAAAACCAGAAGTGGTGCTGTGGCTCAAGTGGTAGAGCGCTCGCCTTGAGCTGATGAGCTCAGGGACAGCGCCCAGGCCCAGAGTTCAAACATCTATGATTCAATGCAAAAAAAATGTCAAGGTCCTTAGCTGAATCAGTAATAAGTAAAATAAACAAATGAAACATTTCTTTTTCACTGGCTCTCTTTGACACATAGAAGGGTGTGGCTGCTATCTGTGGATTTCTTTGCAGTCTGTCCAGATCAAGGTTCAAAGGAAGAGAGAAAACTCCCTCAAAAGCAAAACAAGGCTTAGGTGAAGAGGGGTGGACCGACACTCACACCTGTAATCCTAGCTACTCAGGAGGCTGAGATCTGAGGATCCTGGTTCAAAGCCAGCTCGGGTAGGAAAGTCTGTGAGCCTCTGATCTCCCACTTAACCACCCTAAAAGCCAAGAGTGGAGCTGTGGCTCAAGCGGTAGGGTGCCAACTTTGAGCAAAAGAACTCAGGGGCAGCATCCAGGCCGAGTTCAAGACCTAGGGAGGGGCATTTAAAAAACAAAAAAGAAAAGAGAGGGGCTGGGAAGGTGGCTCAGTGGTAGAGTGCTGGCAGAGCATGCATGAAGCCCTGGGTTCGATTCCTCAGTACCACATACACAGAAGAAGCCAGAAGTGGTGCTGTGGCTCAAGCCTTCAGCCAAAGACGCTCAGGAACAGCGCCTAAGGCCTTGAGTTCAAGCCCCAGGACTGGCCAAAAAAAAAAAAAAGACCAAAACAAAAGCACTCAGTACCTTGACCTTCTAGAAGAATTGACATTGGAAAGTTTGGGCTAAGAGATGCAAATGCAGAAGTGGCCCGAGGTGCAGACCCAGGGTGAACAGCCCTCCTTCCCATCCCCCCCCCCACCACACCCCCCTCCAGCGCAGGGGCAGAACAGAAACCGCAGAATGTTCCAGAGACAGCACCCCAGCTCCCCGGGTGGCGCAATGTTTATGTTTGTGTATCTAGCATGGAGGGGAGGAGGGGGTGTCGTCGCCTAGGGCTTCTTGGGGTGCCAGCCTGGGTCTTTCCAAGCCCGGGAGAGGGGACCGGGGACTGGCAGGGGGTGGGGGGGATGGGGTGTCCGCCCCGTCGAGGCTGGAGCCCCCCCCCAGCCCAAGGGCATAGAAGTTGCTCAGTGGAATAAAGTAACCTCTTGCAGGCGGCCCGGTCCCCCCCCAGAAGCTGAACCCCCAAACCCACACCCGATCTTGCGCCCCCTCCCCTCCCGATAGGACTGGATGGGGTTGGGGTGGGAATTCTTTTCCTGGACCCGCCCGCGGGATCGAGCGACTGCTCCCCGGGCCTCGGTTTCCCCGACTGCAGGAAAGGAGAGAGAAGCGCCCAGAGGGCCGCGGGGCCCGGTCCGCCCAGCCTCGGCCGCGGGGGGCGCTCGGGATGGGGTCCCGGGGTGGGTGGGGGCAGATCGTGGTGCGCTCGGCCTGGGCACCGCGCCGTCCTCCGCCCCGAGCGCGGGGAGGGGTCCGGGGGGCGATCGCGGGGAGGGGTCCGGGGGGCGATCGCGGGGAGGGGGACGCGGGGGAGGGGGACGCGGGGAGGGGTCCGGGGGGCGCGGGGAGGGGTCCCGGAGAGCGATCGCGGGGAGGGGTCCCGAGGAGGGGTCCGGGGGGCGCGGGGAGGGGCCCGGGGGAGCGATCGCGGGGAGGGGGACGCGGGGAGGGGTCCGGGTGGAGCGGGGAGGGGTCCCGGGGAAGGGTCGGGGGGTGCGGGGAGGAGTGCGGGGGGCGATCGCGGGGAGGGGAGCGCAGGGAGGGGTCCGGGGGGGTCGCGGGGAGGGGTCCTGGGGAGGGGTCGGGGGGAGCGATCGCGGGGAGGGGTCCGGGGGGTCGCGGGGAGCGATCCCGGGGAGGGGTCCGGGGGAGCGATCGCGGGGAGGGGTCCGGGGGGCGCGGGGAGGGGTCCCGGGGAGCGATCGCAGGGAGGGGTCCGGGGGGTCCGGGGGAGCGATCGCGGGGAGGGGTCCTGGGGAGCGATCGCGGGGAGGGGTCCCGGGGAGCGGTCCCGGGGAGCGGTCGCGGGGAGCGGTCGCGGGGAGCGGTCCCGGGGAGCGATCGCGGGGAGGGGTCCGGGGGGCGCGGGGAGCGGTCCTGGGGAGCGATCGCGGGGAGGGGTCCGGGGGGGTCGCGGGGAGCGATCCCGGGGAGGGGTCCCGGGGAGCGATCGCGGGGAGCGGTCCTGGGGAGCGATCGCGGGGAGGGGTCCGGGGGTCGCGGGGAGCGGTCCCGGGGAGCGGTCGCGGGGAGGGGAGCGCGGGGAGCGCGGGGAGCGGCGGGAGGAGGGGCCGGGACACCGCAGGCCCGAGCTCGGCGCGAGCACCCGGAGCTCTGAGGCCGATGACGTCTTCGCCTTTGGCTTCGGAGGCGCCAGGCCGGGCAGGGCGGGTGACGTCACCGTCCCGTCACGTGACCGCCATTCAAACAAACACAGCCCCCCCCCCCCCCCCCCGCGTCCCCCTCCCACCTCCCCCTCCTGCTCCCGGCGCGTGCGCGTGCGCGCGCAGGCCCCGCCCCCGGGCGGCAACGTATAAACGGCGCTCCCGGGGGCCGAGCGCGCTGCGGAGGACGGCGAGCGCGAGCCGCGATCCGGGCGGGCGGGCGCGCGGCGGGGCGGCGGCCATCACCCGCGGGGACCCCACGATCGCCCTCGGACGCACGGACGGACGCGGGCGGAGCGCGGCGCCGGCATGGTCCTGGAGGTGGGCGTCCTGGACGCCGCGGCGCTGCGGGCGCTGCTGCGGGAGCGCGCGGCGCAGTGCCTGCTGCTCGACTGCCGCTCCTTCTTCGCCTTCAACGCCGGCCACATCGCGGGCTCGGTGAACGTGCGCTTCAGCACCATCGTGCGGCGCCGCGCCAAGGGCGCCATGGGCCTGGAGCACATCGTGCCCAACGCCGAGCTGCGGGGCCGCCTCCTGGCCGGCGCCTTCCACGCCGTGGTGCTGCTGGACGAGCGCGGCGCCGCCCCGGACGCCGCCAAGCGCGACGGCACCCTGGCCCTGGCGGCCGGCGCGCTGCGCCGCGAGGCGCGCGGGACCCCGGTGCTGGTCCTGCAAGGTGAGGGCCGGGGCGGGGGAGGAAGAGCGGGGTCCCCTCCGTCCCCGCGGCCGGGTGGAGAGGGAGATCGGGGTCCCCCTCCGTCCCTGCGGCCGGGTGGAGAGGGAGATCGGGGTCCCTTCCGTCCTTGTAGCCGGGTGGAGAGGGAGATCGGGGTCCCCTCCGTCCCCGCGGCCGGGTGGAGAGGGAGATCGGGGTCCCCCTCCGTCCCTGCGGCCGGGTGGAGAGGGAGATCGGGGTCCCTTCCGTCCTTGTAGCCGGGTGGAGAGGGAGATCGGAGTCCCCTCCGTCCCCGTGGCCGGGTGGAGAGGGAGATCGGGGTCCCCTCCGTCCCTGCGGCCGGGTGGAGAGGGAGATCGGGGTCCCCTCCGTCCCTGCGGCCGGGTGGAGAGGAAGATCGGGGTCCCCTCCGCCCCTGCGGCCGGGTGGAGAGGGAGATCGGGGTCCCCTCCGTCCCTGTAGCCGGGTGGAGAGGGAGATCGGGGTCCCCTCCGTCCTTGTAGCCAGGTGGAGAGGGAGATCGGGGTCCCCTCCGTCCCTGCGGCCGGGTGGAGAGGGAGATCGGGGTCCCCTCCGTCCTTGTAGCCAGGTGGAGAGGGAGATCGGGGTCCCCTCCGTCCCTGTGGCCGGGTGGAGAGGGAGATCGGGGTCCCCTCCGTCCTTGTAACCAGGTGGAGAGGGAGATCGGGGTCCCCTCCGTCCCTGCGGCCGGGTGGAGAGGAAGATCGGGGTCCCCCTCCGTCCCTGTGGCCGGGTGGAGAGGGAGATCGGGGTCCCCTCCGTCCTTGTAGCCAGGTGGAGAGGGAGATCGGGGTCCCCTCCGTCCCTGTGTCCGGGTGGAGAGGAAGATCGGGGTCCCCCTCCGTCCCTGTGGCCGGGTGGAGAGGGAGATCGGGGTCCCCCTCCGTCCCATACCGGGTTGGGGGGGAGAAGGGAGGACGATCTGGGGGTTCCACGCCTTCGCCTCGGGGGGCGCGCGTGGGTTCGGGCTGTCTCCTCTCTCTTAGGGACTTTTTTGTCCCCCCGGCTTTGTTGGGTTTAAAGAACAAAAGACTTAGCCTGGGTCTCTCCGATGGAAGGGTGAGGTGCTTGTCTCTTGGTGCTCTTAGTACTCCTGGAAGGGGGAAAAAAAAATCTCTGTCTACATCTCTGCGCGTCTTTGTATTCCAGGAGGATATGAGGCGTTTTCGACTTCCTGTCCCGAGCTGTGCAGCAAACAGACGACCCCCCTGGGGCTCAGCCTTCCCCTGAGCACCAGCGTCCCCGACAGCACCCAGTCCGGGTGCAGCTCCTGCAGCACCCCGCTCTATGATCAGGTTCGTGGGGACCCGAGCCAGAGGGGTGGCGAGTGGAGGGGGTGAAGGGAAGGGCTGGCACAGGCCGGGAAGAGCTGTGCCAGCAAGAATATAGCAAATGACTGCAGGTTTATTTATATGTAGCAGAGGGGCAGAGGTCAAAGGAGACAGGCGGCCACCTTCACCCAGGTGAGCTTCTTGGTTCTGCCCAAATCAATGGATTCAGTTACCAACCCCCTCCCCGCGCACTCTTAACCACATGAGCCCACAGTTCCACTTGTGGCTTTTTCTTTGGTGGTTTAGTGGGAAATTAAAGAGTCTCACAGACTTTCCTGCTCCGGGCTGGCTTTGAACCAGGATCCTCCTATCTCTGCCTCTCTAAGTTCATCCCCAGCCTGCAACTCACTTCCCAAGCCCTGGGAGTTTCTGTGGGTGTGGGCCCTGGTGTTGGCTTTCGAGCAAGCTCTGAGTGTGCGTTTGGTTTTCTGTATTCCAGGGTGGCCCCGTGGAGATCCTGCCCTTCCTGTATTTGGGAAGTGCGTACCACGCTTCCCGAAAGGACATGCTGGATGCCCTGGGCATCACCGCCTTGATCAACGTCTCAGCCAACTGTCCTAACCATTTTGAGGGTCACTACCAGTACAAGAGCATTCCCGTGGAAGACAGCCACAAGGCGGATATCAGCATCTGGTTCAATGAGGCGATCAACTTCATAGGTAATTGGAAGTCATGCCTGGCACTTGTCTGCCTCTATGTCCCCTTGAGAACCAGCCATGGAAGCCCCGCCTCCCCCCAGGGCAGGACACACGTGATCTTCATCTGAGCCTTCCTCTAGGCATTAGCCACGAGCAATAGTTTTAAGTAGGGATTTGCTGGCATCCCACTTTACAGATGAACAAACTGAGGCTCCCATGAATTGTCTTGTCCAGCCATGGTTTATCTGTTAAAGCAATACTACCAATTTGGGGTTTAAATCCCCCCCCCCCTTTTTGTTTTTTCTTTCTTTTTTGGCCAGTCCTGGGCTTGAACTCAGGGCCCTGGGCACTGTCCTCAAGCTTCTTTTTGCTCAAGGCTAGCGCTCTACCACTTGAGCCACAGCGCCACTTCCGGCTTTTTCTGTATGTGTGGTACTGAGGAATCGAACCCGGGGCTTCATGGATGGTAGGCAAGCTCTCAGTCCCCTCTTCCACCTTTCTGAGAGAAGCATCTCACAGATTTTCCCACTGGATCACGCAGATCTCAGCCTCCTGAGTGGCTGGGATTACAGGCAGGATCACCAGCGCCCAGCACTGAAGGCTAACCATGCATCTTCTTGTTTTCTAGACTCCATCAAGAACGCTGGAGGGAGGGTGTTCGTCCACTGCCAGGCGGGCATTTCCCGCTCAGCGACCATCTGCCTTGCTTACCTCATGAGGACTAATCGCGTGAAGCTGGACGAGGCCTTTGAGTTCGTGAAGCAGAGGCGGAGCGTCATCTCCCCCAACTTCAGCTTCATGGGGCAGCTGCTGCAGTTCGAGTCCCAGGTCCTGGCCCCTCACTGCTCGGCCGAGGCCGGAAGTCCCGCCATGGCAGTGCTGGACCGAAGCGCATCCACCACCACCGTGTTCAACTTCCCGGTCTCCATCCCTGTGCACCCCGCAAACAGTGCTCTGAGCTACCTGCAGAGCCCTATCACCACCTCACCCAGCTGCTGAAGAGCCACGAGGGGTGACCTGTAGTACCGGAACTTACTCTAGGCTCCGTGCAAGGAACGAAGCAATAACCCCCCCTCCCCTGGAAGGGGGTCCCCGGGCCTGCTGGTCTTGTCATTTCATTCACTTGGTTCCAAATAAGCAGTCATGAATGATGGCTTTGGCTACAAGAAGTTGGTTAAACTGAGCACATTGGGGACCAATCTATAACTTGGGGGGTGTTTCTCAGACCCCAATGACAGAATGCGGCACAAAAGATTGTATGAACTCATTTTTGTTTTGTTTTTGGCTTGGCCCTGTTGGTTTTTTTTTCCCCCCCTTCTAGAAATTTCTTCATGCTTGACATAACTCCCAGTATTATCATTCCTGACCACGTACACGTATGAGACTGTATCTTATTTATTTTTGTGAAGGTGACCTGCTTTCACTCATTTCCGTGTCTACTCCTAGCTGGAACAAATACCTCAATTTTTTTGTTTTTGTTTTCTGTGTGTGTTCAGTGTCTTGTCATGTAAATAGACCCTATGCCGGTTGGTTTTCAGAACTGATGGGAAACACCAGTGTGTGTGTGTGTGTCTTTTAAGTTGCCAACAGTTGAATGTTTGCTGATTATTTATGACCTGAAATAATATATTTCTTCTTCTGAGAAGACATTTTTTGGTATATAATAAGAATGACTTTTTTTTTATACAACAGAATAAATTATGGCGTTTCTATTGAAATCTCAAGGCTTTGTTTCTTTGGTAATCTCACCTGATCTGTCCTGGGCCAAGGAAAAATTGGGAAACCTTGGGTTCAGATGTATGTTGGATCTGCACCTCTACCCTTTGTGGGCCAAAATGGGTGAAGTAAGTATGACCGTGCCTAGTAGCTCATGCCTGTAATCCCAGCTACTCAAGAAGCTGAGATGGGAGGATCGGGGTTTGAAGGCACCCTGGGCAGAAAAGTCCATGATACTTTTAAATCCAATTAACCAGCAAAAAGTCAGGAGTGGAGCTGTGGCTCAAAGTGGTAGAGTATCATCCTTGAGCGAAAAAGCTCAGGGATAGCACCCAGGCCCTGAGTTCAAGCCCCAGGACTGGCAAAAACAACAAAAAACACAGTGCTGAGGCCCAGAGGCATACAATAATATATAGTATATTTAATATATAATGCATCGTATAGATCACATAGCATTAAATATGCAATATATAAGAAATATTTTTTGTATTGGTCTTGGGGTTTGAACTCTCGTGGACTTGTGTTCTCTTGTTTTTTTCCCTTAAGGCTGATGCTTTTAATCATTTTAGCCACATCTCCCCTTTGGCCTTTTTGGCTGGTTAAGGAGCAGGAGATACGAGTCTTGTAGTTGCTGTTCAGGTTGGCTTTGAACTGGGATCCTCAGGTCTCAGCCTCTGGAGTAGCTAGAAGGACAAGTTTGAGCCACCAGTGCCCACAGCGTTTTTGTAATTTCATAGAAGAAAGGCAATTAAGTCAGACTTGCCGCAGGGCCATGTCCTTAGCTTTTACTCTCTTGCAAAACTTGAGAAGATACAATTGGCTACCAGCCCTTAATCCAGTGATGATGTTGAATTAAGCCAATGAAGCTCTTGGGTGTGCCGGTGACTGATGCCTATCTTCCTAGCTACTCTGGAGGCTGAGATCTGAGGATCACAGTTTGAAGCCAGCCTGGGGCTAGAAAGTCCTGGAGACTCTCATCTCCCATGAACCACCTAAAAACCGGAAGTGGAGCTGTGGCTCAAATGTAGAGCACTCATCTTGAGTTAAAAAAGCTTAGGGTCTGCTCCTTGGTCTCTGAGTTCAAGCTCCGCAACTGACAAAACCCACAAAAACACAGCAAAGTGTTCAGGTTCTTGCCTTTTGGTGGCTGCTCAATCAGGGCTTGTTTCTAGAGAAAGTTGGGCAAGAAGAGGAAAAGGAACATGGTATTCAATGTATTTAGGATTCTCCTGGGCTGTGGCCCTCACCTAACCTTGAAGTTCAAGAGATTGAACACAGAATCTTGTCCTTGACTTTCTCTCTCTCTTTTTTTTGGCCAGTCCTGGAGCTTGAACCCTGGACCTGGGTACTGTCCCAGGACTCCTTTTTGCTCGACTAGCACCCTACCACTATAAGCCATTGCAATACTTCCAGGTTTTTCTGTGGTTAATTGGAGATGAAGAATGTCATGGACTTTTTCTTTCTGCCCTGGCCTCCAACCATGATCCTCAAATCTCAGCCTCCTGAGTAGCTAGGATGACAGGCGTGAACCACTAGCTCCTTGACTTTCTTACTGCCCACCTGCTTCTGTAGGTCCTTGAAAGATTGTTGTTGTTGTTTTGTTATTGCTTTTGGTTGTGGGGCTTGAACTGAAAGTCTGGGAGCTGTCCCTGAGCCTCTTTGTGCTCAAGGCTAGTGCTCTACCACGTGAACCACAGTGCTACTGGCAGTTTTTGAGAGCTTTATTGGAGTTAAGAGTCTCATGGGGATTTTTCTGCCCAGGCTGGCTTCGAACTGCGCTCCTCTGGATTCCCAGATCTCAGCCTCCTGAGTAGCTGGGATGACAGGCGTGAGCCACTGGCTCCCTGCTTTTTAGTGGGTGTTTTAAACACCTAAGTTTCCTCCGGACTGGCAAGTTCATTTTCTTGGCAGCATTTCTAATCAATGAATGGCAAGGATCATCCTGGATTTAAAAACAGAAAAAAATCAAACCATAGAAATGTACTATTGTAAATCTCTTCCTCTTGATCAATCCCCAGCAGAGTCTGTGGCAGATGCTGGGGTTCGCTTTGCCCCCCCCCCCCCCCCCCCCCCGCTCGGTGTTTGGGTTTTTTCATTTTGGCAGGTCTTAACTGAGCCACAATAAATCCCCAGTGTGATCTACTCAATGGAAAAATACAACTGCTGCCTAAGAAAAGCTGCCCGGGGAAAATAGCTCCGTCACTCTGGCCTCCCAGCTTCATCCATTCACCCCAAAACCAGAGGTGAGCCCTCAAATTTCAATCTGGAGAATGTCACCTTTGGTTTAACCTTTTTCTTTTTTTGGTCATTCATGGGGCTTCGAACTCAGGGCCTGACAACTGTTTCCCCCCCCCCCACCACCACCTTGGGACAAACACCAGTCCTTCATGATGGAAAAAAAAAACCCCAAAACCTAAAGCTTATTAAAGATAGTTGTGCCAGGTGCTAGTGGCTCACACCTGTCGTCCTAGCTACTCAGGACGCTGCGATCTGAGGATCGTGGTTCGAAGCCAGCCCAGACAGGAAAGTCCATGAGACTCTGATCTCCAATGAACCAGCAAAAAAAGCCTCAAGTAGACTAGGCCCAAAGACAAATGGAAGGACTTGGGTAAGAAGGAGAGCTTTGGAGTCCACTAGACTTCACCACCATTTGTGTGTGTGTGTGTGTGTGTTTGTGTGTGTGAAAAAGCGACCATAATTGTCCAAATATTTCCAATTTCCCATCTTCAACGCCCTGTCCTGGGAAGAAATTTTTGCAAATCGCAGCTGCCTTTGCTTTGCTGTGTGTGTGTGTGTGTGTGTGTGTGTGTGTGTGTGTGTGTGTGTGTGTGTGTGTGTGTGTGTGTGTGCCAGGGCGTCCACATTCCCACGACTCTGCCCAAACCAGCCAACCAGCCAAGGGTGATGTCATGGCTGCCTACACCTTTAAGATTATATAAAAAAATCCCGTCGCCTTGGTAACGCAGAGGCGGTTCCCTGAGAGCTGGCCTGTCACTTCCTGCTGCTGACAAGTCAAGTCTGGGAGATGGGCAGGGAGGGGGGAGGGGGAGGGGGAGGGGAGGGGGTGGGAGGGGGAGGGGGGTGGCAGTGTCTCACCTGGGTGATGGTTTTTTTTTTTTGGTAAAAGGAATGTCCTGCGAGGCTCTGGCCGGGCTCAGCTTGGGTACCTCATATTTCATGTCTGGGTGGATTCAGGTCACCCCAGATTGTTGTCTTCAGCAAGTTGTATTCTGGGAGAGCTCTCCACCTGTGTGGGGGGGAGGGGAGGGCGGCAGGGGGAACTCTGGGAAAGTTGTTTGCTCTGGTAAGCGGCACCCCTAAAAAATACCTTTTCTCTCTCTGTGTGTGTGTGTGTGTGTGTGTGTGTGCGTGTGTGTGTGTTTACTGGGTCTCGAACCCTAGGCCTTGAGCTCTTTGCTTAGCTATTTTGTTCAAGTGGCGCTCTACCACTTGAGTCACAGCTCCATTTCAGGCTTTTTCTTTGGGTTGATTGTGGGATTTGAACTCAGGGCATTGTCCCTGAGCTCTTTTTGCTCAAGGCAAGCACTCTAGCCCTTTTGAGCTACAGCGCCACTTCTGGTTTTCTGGTGGTTTCCTTGGAGATGAGTCCCATGGACTTTCCCAGCCCAGCCAGCTTGGAACTGTGATCTTCAGAGCCCCTGGGTAGCTGGGATTACAGGTGTGAGCCACAGTGCCAGCCCTTGGCTAGTGGTCAGACTTCCTTTGAGTGCCAGTCCTGGTGCTTGAACTCAGCCTGGGCGCTGTCTCTGAGCTTCTTTGCTCCAAGGCTAGCGCTCTACCACTTGAGCCACAGCGCCACTTCTGGCTTTTTTCTGTGTCTGTGGTGCTGAGGAATCGAACCCAGGGCTTCATGCATGCTAGGCCAGCGCTCTACCACGGAGCCACCTTCCCAGCTCCGAGAGGCACCCTGGCTGGAGTCCAGGCTCGGGAGAGGCTTGCTGTACAGTGACGCAGCTGGTCCCATTCTGTCCCTGAACAATGGTTGCCCTCCTGCCTGGCATAGTCCCAGGAAAGGGAAGCAGAAGGGAGGTATCCTGTGATGTCATCATGCCTCCTCCCCGCCCTCCCTACCCTGGGCATGCTGTGTGGACCAATGACCTTGCGCTAGGCCACGCAGCTCCGCCCCACTGACCCCCCCCCCCCCCCCCCTTACTTCTCCTTTGTAAGTCTCAGATCTTCATCTGGCCTTCTTTCCTGCCCAAGAAAGGCTCAGGCCTCTCCATCCCCCCCACTCCCCAGGTCAGGAAGATTCTGGAATCCCCAGGCTTCAATTGAAGTGGATGAAGAACACAACGGGGAGGAAATGGACACTTTTATTGCCAGTCCTGGGACTTGAACTCAGGGCCTAGGTGCTGTTATTGAGATTCTTTTTCTCAAGGCTAGCAGTCTACCATTTAAGCCATAGTGGCAGTTCGGGCTTTTTCTGAGTAGTTTTTTGGAGATGTGTCTCATGGACTTTCCAGCCTGGGCTGGCTTTGAATTCTGACCCTCAGATCTTAGCCTATTATTATTATTATTATTTTGTTGGTTGTGGGGCTTGAGCTCAGGGCGTGGGTGCTGTCTCTGAGTTCTCTTTTGCTCAAGGTTAGCATTCTACCACTTTGGGCCTACAATCCTAGCTCCTCAGGAGGCTGAGATCTGAGGATTGCAGTTCAAAGCAGGAAGGTCTGTGAGGCTCTTAGTGCCAAGAAATAGCAAAAGGCTGAAAGTGGAGCTGTGGCTCAAGTTGTAGAGCGCCATCCTTGAATGAAAAAGCCCAGGAAAAAGTCCAGGCCCTGACTTTGAGTCCCAGGATTGATACACACACACACACACACACACACACACACACACACTAAAATCTCAAGGGGTTTGGAGAGATTGGTCAATGAGGGGGTCTAGGTGGCAGTTTGACAAAAATGAGTTTTCAGTGGTCTGCTATGATATGATGAATGACTACAGACAGACCATAATGTGTCATTCCCTTCAAAAAGGCAAGACA